CTTGATGTTTGACAAAGATTCATGGTTCCATGAAAATGACAGACTTGGTTCAATTGAAAATTCTTTTTGAAGAACTGCATTGAAAGCCACCACAAAAGTCCAATTGGCTTTTGATGAATTTTGCATATTTGAAGAAATCTTCATAGCAACTAGGAAAAGTTTCTTGGTAAGTTTGTGTAAGATGTCAAAATAGAAGAATAATTCTTGTAAGTTGTTGATTTTTGAAAATTGCATCTTGTTCTGTAACTGGAGGTCTTTGTTTTTACCAGCCACGGTAAGGGCAGCTGCATGGCCATTTTTGGTTTTTGGAAGCCACAAATTCTCCATGTTGAAGATAAATATATATTATCCCAGAAGAAGTTCCTTCAACAGATTCTTTGACAAGTTTTTTGGTTTAACATGATCATTGAATTCTTGGACAGCTTTTGTGATATTTGGAGTGTCTCCTCTAGTAGCATTCAAAAACCTGATTGTGCTTGGTGTATAACAACCCCTTCATCTAGGACCAGAAATGTTCCTTTTGGTCCAATCCCATCTCTTTTCCATTTTTGATTTCTTTCCATTCAGAAGATTGATATCCATCTGGATCACTTTCAACATCTTTCTCTGTTCCTTTATTATTAAGTTTTTCAGAACAATAGGAGAAGAGGATTTAGATCTTGGATTCCTGCCCTGGACTTGAGAATCCAAAATGTTTCTCACAGTTTGAGCATTGTCAATCTCTTGTTGCCTCAGGATATGGAATTGGTTTTCTTGCTGGATATTAGATCAAGCACCACATTGTATACTGTTAATGATGATATCATGTGGATACTTTTTATTGTACAATATATTGAAGATAGAGCTAGGATCTTTTTTTGACAAAACAGGTCTGGTAGGCACCAGACCTTATTTTAACAAATGGGACAATCAGAGTCCTGATCCATTTTGACCAAGTTAGATGCAAATGTGGACCATTGACAGTACCAGTTTGGAGCATTGTAGGGCAGGATCTGTGAAAGGACAATCAAATCCCACATTGTGAAATTGTGGGAACTGCCCCCTGAAACATATTATTGGTGAGGGTGGCCAATTTTTTGGCAACCAGCGCTGCTGCATTGAAATCAAAGCTACCATCACTCATTCAAGTGGAACTGATAACGGGTTTTTAAATCAAAACCAAAACAATTACTTTTTCTAATAAAAAAATACTTCTTTGATTGCTATTTGCTTTGGTTTGCTGGAATGATGATTTTGAACGCAAAAAAGATACGCGTCAGAAATGATGATAACTCGGAGATGATAAATATCGACGAGAGTAAGCGCAATGCGATGAAATCAGAAAACAGTCAAGAGCCTATGACATCATCAAAGATGTGTGGTAAAATAGGCGACGGAAAATTCCAACCCGTCAGTGACAATGTAATGCAGTAAGTCACCAACATCAAGTCATTCAAGACGAGATACGTCGTGTGATTGACTTCCATTTTGGCGGAGCGGCTTTGGTCGAGACTCGAGAGTCGAGTAGCCTTGAACAACTGTAGACAGTTGTCTTCATAGCCTGATGATAGATAACAAGCTATACTGGTTTTCGTGCACCTCTGTTCAACTTCGCACCACGATCCCATAAATCTGCTAAGCCTGTAGCATTTTTCTGTACACAAATCTTGAGATAGTGCATGAATAAAGAATAAAAAAGAACGTTTTTTGAAAGATATAAAATTTTCATCACTTGTCGAAAATTGTGAGGGGTGCGTCAGGTCAAAGCCACGAAACGTATGAATGAATTACTGAAGGTGAAAGTGAGTCGAGAAAATCATTGTACATCTCGGCTCGTGCCATTCTTTGAGCTGAACTCGAAGGGATGATTTTTGAGCCTGCATAAGCTGTTGTTTAAGCGAGAGAAGCCGCCGATCTCGGGAAGCTGTTTCCGATGGACGCCTGGGAAGTACTTGATCCAATCAGTACCTCTGAAGGCAAGGTGTTCAGGAAATATGAAGCAAGTTATCAAGGGGTAATCCTGTAGACTGTCTTCCTTGCCGCTCCAGATACAGACGATAGCGACCGAGGCGTACATCATCATGCGGTTTGAAGCAAGGAGGAGAGACTGGTCGGGTGTTGTTTTGACAGGTTCCCATCGACGAGAGATTTGCAAGGTGAACTCTGCTTGAGAATGCTGTTCGCTGGACTCAACCTCTTTCAAGTTGAGTCATTTGTGAAGTATAACAATATAGACTCTGAAAGATCGTATGCGATTGATTTATGATGAAATTTTGAGATGAATAGAAAAGTATTGCGCTTGTTTCCTTAACAACCACCATGGCTACCAAGGTAGAAATAATATCGAAACAAAACAACATCGAGCGTCAAGTCCTGTCCAAGAACAAATGAAACGCTCATCACATCGTAGGGAATGGCCCATAGCAATTAATAGATCAATTTGGACTAAGTTGGATATGAATCTAGATTTCCTTGAGTGTGCGAAGTCAAACTTTCTCACCCAATTCCACCGTCGCTCATATCATCCTTATCCTATTTGGCGCAGCTAGAGACCGTGGCAATGAGAGAGAATTGGACGAGGATGGATTGGACTTTAGGGTTCAAAATTATCACTAGGCGACCTCTTCATCGTCATCGCTAGATTTCGCGTGCTTCATACTAATCGGGTGTTAATCGAGTCGGTCAAGTTATATAATTCCATCTTTGTGTTATGGAACATCATCCCATTCCCCCCGTTCACTTGGAATCCAATCTATTCTCGTTTTTCATTTGCTTGACTACTTGTTCTTCTATCCCTGGTATACCTTACCTCGGGTCTTTCATATTCTCCTTGTGTCTACATACATATCTTATTTTCGTTCTTCTTAGCATATCTTTCAATTTCCATATACTCCTTGGGATCGGCTCTATCATCTGCGACGTTGACTGCTCCCCTTTGCTCTTCCACCGCTTCGCTCGGCATCTTTTTTCAAACCAATATAATCGCGTAGCCTCACACAGGTTTGAAGGCTTATCAACCGCTGGACAACCTTCGTCACTCAAATTGAAACTCCTCAAATTATTTTTTGCATCTTCTTGAGGTTTACAAGAATTTGTGACACATTTTTGAAACAGCTTAGATCATCCTCAATGTCTACAATTCTTTCCCCAAGCCTTTCTGGAGCTTTCTCTCCCAGTCGACTCGCCTTCCCTGACGCATGGGCTGCTTCATCCAACGATGCCATCATTGAGGCAGGTTCCTCGAGTGTACCTAGCTCATCCCCACTGCTCTGCGCTTCAATCGCCGACAGTGCTTGTAACATGTCTTCTTGGCTCGAACCCGTTGAGCGGGACTCTGTCAAGACCCAAATAATCGCCACTCGCCCTTGTTCTCTTTCGCCACTTAATGAGCTCAATTCTGGTAGCAGTATCTCACCGACTGGTACTAGCTTCGGTCCTACTCAAGAATCCATCCCGAGCACAAACACAGTTCTTTCTTCCATCAGCTCTCCTACTTTCAACGACGCTTCTGCTCAGAGCCCTTCACCAGCTGTCTTGGCGCCTGCCAATTCTGCCGAAGCCTTTCCAGGCTACATTCGTGATGCGATTTCTACGCCAATGATCTTACCTCCTCAGGATCGTTGGGATCAGAGCGCTTTCAGTCTTTCTGTTGCATTCACCGGCGCAATCTACCGTTCTCAGTTTGAAGGCGAGCAAGAAGCCGATGGAACAGCCCCACCAGCCTTCTTTCCCCTTCAACGTGTTGGATTCTCACCTCAATTGAAGGTACACTCTTCTGCCGGCGGACTTCCATTAAGTCTCATTGGTGGAATGACTCTCGGTGTTACCGGTGTTGTCAGTGTACCAGTCGTCGATCGTGCCACAGGACGCCAAGCTCGTGACCTTCGATCTGGCTCCCGCAAATGGCGATCACAGCGTGTTGTTGTCGACTTTGTCACAGATTTGTCTCACGGACTCGATACCTGGAAAGCTGATGCAGAGTATGCAACTAACGCCGCCGGTGGTAGTATGGCCACTTGTGATGGACAAGGAATTTTACCACCCGGTACATATATCCTCCCATTGAGTATGAAGATTCCTGCTTCTGAGAAACTGTAAGTTTTGTTCAACTCAGAATCCTACCAGCTGATGCTATGCTAATTTACAAATCTTTCCGTGCTTCCAGTCCGCCATCATTCACATGTGATAGCTTCAAAATTTCATACACCATGTCTCTTGCACTATGGTCACGGGCAACTGATGTTACCACTGGTCAACCCATCCATTGCAAAGTCTTCACAGTTCCATTCGACATCATGCCAGCCACTTTACCCAGCGGAGCACCCAAGCTTCCAAGACTCGTTTGGGAAGATCGCTCCATGAATGGCATCAGTCCTTGGGGTGGAATGTGGGAAGGCCTCAAGCGTGCCATATCTCTTGGTCGCCCTGAGGGATCTAACGGTCCTACTGGTTCAGACCCCACTCCTGCTCCACGCAAGAGAGCCATCGCGGCGATCACTTCTCAAATGCATGGACCTCAGGCAGTTGCCGCCGCTGCCGCCGCTTCCACAGCCACTCACGTTGTAATTCCTACTCTCCCTTCTTCATCTTATAGTCCTGCATCTCAAGCAACTATTCCCGTCACTATCTCTATCATCGATCGTCCCTTGGTCCCCACCGATCTCTATGTCCGAATCAGTTTGATCCGATCGGTATATGTACGTGACAGTAAGAAGGATTGGTTAAATGAGGCTTCTGAGTTGTTATTGGGTGACGAAGCTATGCTCGCCAACCATATGAAAGAGGAGAAAGAAATTTGCTCTCGATGGGGGTAAGCTCTTTCAGATTTCAATTATATATCTCTTTGACCAATTCACTAACCTATGCCTCTTAGTTACATCCCGTACCATTTACGTCCACACGCCAACCCAATGGAAGAGTGTGAAGTTTTGATCAGAGATTTGGCTATTCCTCTCCTTGCCGATGGTGAACTCGGATGGAACCACGGATACTCGACAGCCTTGGACCTTGAACCTTGTCCAGCTCCGACTTTAGACCACCACCCTGTTTCCGGTTCTTCATGGTTCTCACCGGCTTTCAGACGCAGAGCACCTGTTGAAAAGGAATACGGTCGTCACTTACACGTTTCTACCCGTTTTTCAATTGTTATTGAAGTTGGATTTGCTCGAGTTCCTGAAGGCTGTACTGAAGGAATCCTTGGTGATACTCTATCCGAAATTCAATCTGTCCTAGGTGATGAATTCACCATTCCTGCTCCACACACCTTTACCAAGGCATCTGTGCCAAAGTCCAGCTCGATCACCGGTGGTAGTCTCACCAACCCATTTCCAGTAGAAAGACCTAGTCACCGACATCATCAATCCTTACCTGTCAACTTATCACCAGTTGCATCTACTTCAGCATCCACCTCGGCATCTGGATCGAGTTCGAGTTCAAGTTCCCTTTTACATCTTTCTCATCACAATTCAGGAATCTTCATGGGCAACTCAACTCACTCACGACTTCCTTCATTCCCTGGAAAGATTCGTACTCTCCGTTGCCCCATCGTCATTGGTTCAGTTGCCGAACCTACATTGGCTTGCTTGGTGTCACCTGAAGCCGAACGCAGACTTGCAAATGATCCTTCTCGTTCGCTTCAACCTCCTTCACCCGGTGCTCAACGTCGTGCAGAGGAAGAAGATGATATGAGACGAGCTGTCGAAGCTGCTGAACCTTCGCTAGGCGGTGATGGAGAAGCGTGGCTTTGTGCTCCACCTGACTACTCCGCTGCTCTTCGTGGCCCACCTGCATACGTTTAAATTAACCAAGAATCATTTACTTGAACTATTTTACCAAAAGAAACTTTCCTATCTATACTAGAAGCAATTTGTCACATCTATCCTTTATAGGCAATATACATGTTTAATAATTTCTTATATCTCTCCTTCATATATATTCTTGATCATTCCCTCTGCTTAATCTCTACTTCTTGCATTTCTTCTTTATTTTTAGAAAAAAAATCATATCTTGAGCATTTCCTCTTTCTTTTATAAATATCATTATCATTTTTCTTTTGATAAACCTTGGGTGTTACGATTATTTCTTGATTTGATTTATACAATTCTTTTCATCTTTGCATTTTCTTTTTGTTGTTGTTTTTTGTTTTTGTTTTGATATCTTCCAACTTCTTTATTCGCTGCGTCGATATTAATATTTTTTTCTCTTTCGCTAGATTTAAAGATTTTTGAAGATGAATGCAAGATATTTTTTTAAAAGAAAAACTTGACTTTTCCAGTGACCTTTCACCTCATCTGTGCCGAAACCTAATAGCCTGACCCAAGCGAGGAACTTGTGAACACCTTTCATTGAATTCCGTGCTTGATTCTCATGATCCTGAGCATCTGTTCAAAGTCACATCCCAACTCCCCACTTGCCTTGTTGACTGGTTCGTCCTTCCTCATCTGTGCACTCTAAACCTACACCCTCCTACACCTGAGTCACACTACCTTGTCAATTCATACTGCCTGGCTCCAACCATTAAAATTCAAACATACACTTCCTTTCAATTATATCTACTCAAATCTAATACAATCGAACACATCGGGGAAAACAAATTGATGCAAACTCACGGTTCCTGTATCAGAAGCTTCTTGTTCAGTTGAGTGCATCATTTAGCTAATCCACGGTTGTATTTCGTCCAACTTGACATGAACCTTGAAGAAAACCAAAACAAAAAAGTTTAGACAAGACATCAATTTCTTGAATAAATCTGAATAGAAAACCAAACTTGATTAACCAACACCCATCCAAAAAAAAAAACAATACAATTCATAATGACTTTTATTTTACAACATCCAAATCATAATAGATATATAAATAAGTATTCTTAAGAAATGATCACCAAAGAATTCCCAAAAACAAATCATATAACCCATTTCCCTTTAGCAAACCCAATCTGGTCAACCTTTTGAGAATCCCAAAGTCTCTATGTATCTCTTATACTCCTGATAGTTTTCACATTCATTTCATGCATCAATCACAATCAATTTCCCCACTTTGATTTCAAACTCATCCCGATTCCTAAACCCTACTTTGATTTCATTCATCTTAAACCGATTCTTTTCTTCTTCATTCTCATTTAACCTTTCAAAACCCCCCAAAGAAAACCGTGAATTAAATTCTTTAGTTGTGTTGTTCAATCAAATCAATCCATCAAATCAAATCACTTACAAATCTTTTAATTTGATTTTAATAAATTCAAAAAACGAAACTGATCCAAATCCCAAACAATTTCCTAACCTTAATGAAAACTTTCCATCATTCAAAAACCCAATCAATTTCATTTCTTTCTTCATCGTATCTTTCATCTTTCCAATCCCATTGACTTCTTCTACCTAAAAAAACCCCATCACCCAAAAGATCAAAACATAAGAAACTTGTGTATCTCAATGATTTCGAAATCCATACATACACAAAAATTCCCATACTTACTTTTCTTTGATTCATAAACCTTTCATCAAACCTATAAATCCTACAAAACTTTTCCATCTTTTGATTTCGATTTCCATGAATCCTTTGATTCTCATCACTCAACAAAACCATTTTAACTTTCACTAAACTTAATTCCAATGGATTCAATTCATTTCCATTTCGATTGATTTCAATACATATCTTTTTAAATAATTTCCACCCATTTTCCATCAAGTCTTCATAATTTAACTTTAATTGAACATTCAAATCAATTAAACTCTTTAATGATTTCAAAAAAGTCGAAACAATTAATCCATTCAATAACCAAGGTGTTTTGATTTTACGAAGCTTTAAATGATCAGTAGGTATAAACAAATCTTCTTCTATCTCTTCTTCTTTCTGATCTTCATCATTCCCAAAAACCAAATCCCAATTAATAAAAAAATAATCCATTTCCCTATCCTCAAACCTATAAAGATTAATTCTTTTACCCGGAGGTTTTCTACTCCAAACCGTTTTCTCCTTCAAAGAATCCATCAACTTTAATTCTTCAAATGGTTTTAATGTATTAAAATCTTCTGGAAATCGTGGGGATTGATCTTCAAATAAGATTTGTGATCTTTGATTTAAACAAATCAATCTAACATTCGTAAATAGAATCGATTGAAAGATTGATTGAATCCAATGATTTGATATCATTAATTTCCATCCTAATTTCACTTTGATTAATAAAATAGGAATTCGATCATCTTCTATTAATGGTTTTAATCTTGAACCCGGTATCATTTGCTATTCATAAATCCAACAATCCAAACGAAAAAAAGCAAACAAAATTCAAATTCTTTCAGTTTTTTTTACTTTTCTTTTTGATTGGTTTTCATTTCATGATAAAAAATCACTCAACTTCTTCTCTTCGCTTATCAAGATGTGATTTTTTAAATTTAGGTTTCTTCAATCGAATCTCTTGATTCCAAAACCCCAAACATTTCGCAATTTCCACACTAGGTTCCATGACTTTTAAATCATGTATCATTTCATTTTTTTCTTCCATCACTTTCATCTTTCTAGGTGGAAAACTATTCACAATTCCATCATTCAAATCTCATCAGTTCTAAAACACAATGTTTAACTACATTCCAAGAAAAAAAAAATTGATGACTAACTGAACTCTAGGATCATCAATCGTAAGTCCAATCACCATACCTAAAGGAAACAAATTCGGTCGAAGCCCATTCTTCAAAAGTTTCATAACCTAAACCCAAACCCATCAGCAATCAAGACCAAATATCCAATCCAACCCAATCAAAAAAAACACGACATATTTCACTGACTTCAACCTTTTCATCAGTTTCCAAAACTCTACCTAAAACTTCAGTAGATCTAGGACCGAAAAGTTCTAAACAACCTAAATCTTCTTGACACTCTAAAACGACTTTCGAATTCCGATTAGCTTGATGAATACATTCGATCACTTGATCTTTAATAGCTGGATGAATCTGTAATAAAACTTTTCGTTGGATCGGAGGTATTGTTCTATTACATGGGTTTTCTAATAAATTAGAATCTTTTGTGTCTTGAGAAGTCGAAATGTGTTCCTTTTTTTCAAAAAAAGCCATCTTCATTAAATTAAAGATCTTGTCGTTTTTTTTTGGTTTGGAGAAAATTGGAAGTCGACTTTACTTTTGAATGATGAAGAGATTCTAAACTTGAAGAAAGATCCATACTAGGGATCGGATTGATAGTATTAATCGTCATCGGATCAGAAGGTAAAATGATAGGATGATCCGATTCGAATAACCTATCTTCATCAAGATCTTGAAAATTCGATTTAGATTTGAATCGACTTCGATTATTTAACTTTGGAACTTCTTGTGCTGCTGGTGGTGGTAATAATTCTTCATTCTCATCTATAGGATTGGATATCGGACACCAAATCATCGAAATCGGTCCTATATATCCATACGGATACTTTTCAAATTCATAAACATCTAAATTAATTTCACGATGACCTGGTTTATATCTATCCAAAAAAATCACAAAAGTTTGAAAAGTTTGAATGATCAATGAATTGAAAAGAAGATAGTATTTTTCTATTTTTCTGTTTTTTTGGTTGGAAGAAAACAAAATCATCCTTACTTTATTGAAGAAGGATCCAAACCAAATGGATCAGAAATCGAATGAAAAAGTTGAATTAATGATACTTCATCTGAAACTAAAGTTAAATTAGAAAAATAAGATAAATCATGAATGGTTGAACCAGATCTTGATGCTCTATAAGTTGTTCTATAACATTTTTCAGTTGGTGTTTCTGCCTATTCAAACAAACAAAAAATAAAGAATAAATGGATCAATTTAGATGTCAGAACAATCAAGTTTTTTTTTTGGAAAGAATGAAACCTTACTAATCTGTATCCCCAAAGATCAATCATTTTAGTCCGTTTAGAATGCCAAAGATGAGTACTCAACCATTTCTTATCAACTAACCCCCAAAAGAACCCAAAACCCCCCCATCAATTTTCTTCATTCTTTCCCAAAAAAAGGGCAATAATCAAACTGACTTTGTCTATTCCTAAAAACCTTGGTTTTATTAATCTTTAAATAAACCTTGTGTTTGATTTTATTTTTAATCGATCTAGATTTCGATTTCGGTTTATCATTCATCATTTCAAATTTAGATTTCATTCGTAATCTAGTAGGTAATCTTCTTGAAAAATGACTTGCTGATCTACGTCTTAAATGTCTTGGTAATGATTGAAATGCTCTTTGTGATCCTGATTCTCTTAAACCCACCCCCAAAAAAAACCCAATAATTAGTTATAAGGAAGGTGATTGTGGGAAAGGGGAAAGGGGTTTACCTTGATGATTTCATGGATCTTTCCATTGCACTGATCTCAAAAGACCTTGACTTAAGCCATCCAAAAAAACACTTCATTAGCTAATCTATCTCTTGATTTGTTTTAAAACTTCACTGTGATCACTCACATTGATGAATTTTTCTACATCTAAAAACTCTGGTAAACTAGATTGAGCATGAATAGTAGACTAATTCCCCCCCCGGCGATCCCCGAAAAAAACAACAAAAGGAATCCATTAGATTTTCTTGATTGACTCTTTTTTTTGATTTTTGATAGGCATAATAAACTTACAGATCTGATTAATTGATAAGGTGATTGAGTAAAGATTTGACGAGCATTTTGAATTTTGACTTTTTTTGATTTATGTGAATGGTTTTGATTCGAATCTGTCATCTTCTTCACTTCTGAACTGGTACTGGAACTGGGACTGGAAAATTATAAAAAATTATCAAACCGCAAGATAAAGCCAGAGAAAGAGAGAAAGAGATAAGTTTTTAAGTGATACTTAAGCTTAAGTAGTCTTTAAGTTTGAGTGATACTTAAGCTTAAGTGATACCTAAACTCAACTAAGTTCGATTCATCCCGATCATCTCATCATCTCAACACCTCAACACCTCAACCACTCAAGCTCAGCAATCGGACCAACACTCACCAAGCCACAATCCCAACCAACATGTTCCAACTAATCCCAAAACGAACCCTTACCCTACCAAACCTACTCCGCCAAAACTTCTCATCAACAACCTCAAATCCAAGTTCTCCAAACCTCCAAATCATCAAACCAACTACACTTCAAACCAATCCCTCAAGCGGAAAACTAAGAAACGGGTAACCTCTTTCCCATCCTCCTCATCCCCAAAAAAAACTCACTTTCTTATTTGGTTTATCTTTTTGGGATTTTAGTGTCTTGGGTTTCTTACTTGGTTTAACTCTTACTGGTACTTATCTTACCTCACGTTAGTCTTTCTTTTCTTTTTTCTTTACACTCATAGTTTCTTCTTACTTGATATATATACTAACCGGTTTCCGGTTTTTGAATAGAATTATACCAAGACTACCAAACCGCTTCAAATGCACTTCAACTATCAATCGAAGAACTAAAATCATCTACCCTAAAAGTTCAATCCAAATCTTTCTTTTCATTCAATCATTCATCACAAAAAAAAACCCGCGAATGCTTTGACTGATTTTGATTCATTTTTTGTGGACAGATTACAAATCAAATCAAACGGATCGAAAGAATCGAAAGAGATTTAGATGCCTTAAACAACTCTACAAACCAATCTATTAACAAAATCCAAAACACCACTTCAAGCACTTCTCAAACTTTAGTAAGTCTTTATCATCTTTTTCTTCCTAAATCCAAACCTTAAATCTGTAAACCTATTAAATCTATAAAGTCAGATTCTGATGGTTTTTCCTTGTGGAAAATCCGAATGGCTTTCTTGAATGATTGTAGGATAAATTAGAAATCCAACAGCTTAAATTATCTTCTAAACTTTCTCAACTTGAAATCGATTGTTGTGATCAAGGATCTAAGAATCAAACCAAATTATGTTAAAAAATATCACCCAATAACTTTTGTTTTTTTGATCGAGCTGGTGGGGGTTGAAAATGATGTCTATTTTTAAAGACAAATGTGCAATTAAAGACTGAAACTTTTTTTAGAAAAAAATGAATACGACTTTAACTTTGTGATAGGGTGTGAAAATGAATTTTCTTGAGATTCTTTTTCATTAAATTTACAAAACAAACACTTCTTTTCTCAATAACTTTACTTCGATAAAACCAAAAAACCAATTATCTTCAAATACATATGATCCAGTTTTTTTACAAATTCTTTCATTCTTTCAAACCACAAAAAAACATAGATAGATAAAAAAATAGATAAAAAAAGCAATCCAAAGTCCAAAGCCCAAAGCCCCAAGTCAAAAACCGCATTCCAAAACCCTTCTAACCCAAACGTACGAACAAAACATCAAAACTTATTCCATCTTCAATGAATTTAACATCTCATTCAATCTACGTTTATGTGTTTCATCAATCTTTAATGAATTCAATTCAAACTCAAGTTGTTGAAACTTTCCAAGGTTCATAAACTTAAATTCTTGATTTGAATAAATTTGTATAGGTGATCCGTTAATAGATATTAAAGATTCGTTTCGTTTTGGTTTTCTGGCTTTTTTGGTTTTCATCTTTCTTGGATCTACAAAACCAAAAAAAAAAAGATTACATTAGATTTCTTTTGGAAGAGGGTAGAGAGAGATGGGATGAGTTACTTTGTGGGTTTGGGATGGGTTGGGATGATGAAGTGGAAGTTGAGTTATTTGTAAGAACTCGTTTGCTAAGCCAAAAAAAAAAAAGAACCATCACCCAAGTCAATCTAACGTGTGAGTTTCAAAAACCAACCAAAAAAAAGAAAGACGAACCGTTTAAAATGAGTTTTATAAATCTCATCCAGATCCAAATCGCCCTCAAGTTGTTGAGAATTCGATCTTTTACCAAGACTCTGATGATTTAAACCGATTCCAGAATTCTTTTCTTCTACATTCAATCTTGCAATGAATTCCATAGTGTTTCTTAAGATTCCTAAATCTCTTTCATGATATTCTTTAGCTGTCACTTTTGAAATAGATGGTGTGATTCTAGATAATTCAAATTCAAATCTTCTTCTTAAGGCTGGTTTGAATTGAGTTCGGATTCTTGTTCTTAGTAAGTTTGTTCGAGTTGATGCTACCAAATCATTTAAAAGAAGAAGACTAAAAAGTTAGATCAAATGCTTGGGGTGGTTGGGAATGGAGGATTTGACTTACTTTCTAGTAGGTAGTTTTCCATGATCGCTTGGTATTGTTCGTTTCCTATACTCTCGATTTCTTCGATTTCGACTTCTTTTTCTACTTTTAGATTTTCTTGTTCTTTTTCTTGTTCTTTTTGGATTTCTTCTTCTACTACTTCTTCCTCTTCTATCTCTTCTGGTTCCTCCAAGTCTTCTACCTCTTCTGCTTCTACTTCTTCCTCCTCTTCTTCTTCTTCCTCCTCTTCTTCCTCTTCTTCCTCTCCTTCCTCTTCCTCTTCCTCATCTTCGTCTTCTTCATCATCATCTTCCTCATCTTCATCATCATCCTCCTCATCTTCCTCCTCATCTTCCTCATCTTCCTCCTCATCAATCGATCCTCTGCGCCCATCCTTCAAACCGCGACCGCCATGATCTTGTTGATAAGTAAACTCGACTTCTTTCATAGGACTAGACATAGCCATTGGAATCTTTTTAAACAATCCAAAGATCTTACTCGAAAACCCTTGAGTCTGTGGCGTAGGTTCGATGACAGTTTTTTCTAGAATCGGTTTTTTTGTATGTTTAGGTGGCATGATGTATCAGATCGTGGTGTGTTTTGTTAGTTTGAAGGTGGATTGATTGGTTTGAGTGGGTTTTGGTTTTTGGTTGGTGGGAAGTGAAAGTGTGAATGAAATCAGTTTTATGAATCGATTGGGATAAGATGAGTTAACTTACACACTTCACAAACTGTCACACACACTGACACAACACCAAGTAGGTTTCACAAACCAATTCAAACTGTACAAAATAAAAATATAAATTCGTCAATTCGATTTGTTCACAAAATCAGGGAATTGTTTACTTTACCTTATAATGAACTTCTCAAATTATTGATCACTATCCAAGATCAATCCAACAGTTTCGTGTGTTTTAGACAATGAGTTTGAAGCTAAAGTGTGAAGAAGTTTAAAGGTCAATTCAAAGATCAAACCAAAAACAAAAAGAAGTTAACAAGAATGAACCTGAAACTTGTTTCTAAAGTTGTAAAGCTCATGAGTTCTTTAAACCGATCAATCAACTTGTTCCTGATTCATTAATTCACCATTTTTCATTTAATCAACCAACCTATTGATAGTATGTACCCCTAGCTTCACTCGATATTTGGATTTCATTAAGTTGCTCATCTACGGTTATATCTCACTCGAAGTTGAGCCTGAGGAAAGTCTTCATTGGATGTAAACGAAGAAGTGTTCGAAAAGATCCAAGGCGAGTGACCGCTATCAGCCAACTCACTACGAGTGAATAACTTTCTTCAGTCGACTATCTTTAAAGTATATGCCACCTTTTGCTTCCTGAAGACCCAACTTTTGATTCTAATCCAACCAATTCACTCAAACCAAAATCCTCACAAGTTTCATAAATCACAAAGATTTACTCCATCTTCATTCTCAATTTCATCATGAATATATATCTTTCCCAAAAAAAAAAAATTACTTTGCAAAAAAAAAAAACAAAAAAAATATAAATCAAAAACTTTTCAAAAAAAAAAAAAAAAAACTAAAACAAAGAAATCACCTGATCATACTTTTGAAAACAGGTTCACTACTTTTGATGAAAAGAAAACACACACAATTTAAAAACGTTACAAAAAAAATAAATAAATAAATAACTTCATGGAATTGGTTTGTATAATACAAAAAAAAAACAAATTTCTTCACTTTCACACACTCAAACAAAAAAAAAATATAATCAGGTATCTGAAACAATATTGTATATAAAGAAAAAAAAGAAAAAAAAGACTTGATAAATCAAACCCAATAAGTAAAAGAAAGAGAGAGAAAAAGAAAAAAAAACGATGCGTTCTACTACAAGTTGATCAAAAAAGAGAGAGAGAGAGAGAAACACAATGCAGAGAGAGAGAGAGATAGAGAAAAAAAGACCACCCAAATCTAATGTATAAACTATGATTCAAGGATTTTGAGGTTCACGAGGTTCGATAAACAAACTCCGACGATAAAGATCATCAGCCGAACCTGCATGTTTTAAAGAAGTTAAAGATTGTTTAATAAAGCTAACCAATTCAGGTACTTCAATTAAACTGTAAGCCACTTGAAACCTTTGTAAATCATTAATAATCTTGGACATTTTCTATTCCACAAAAAAAAAACCAAGAGTCAGCAAAATTGAATTGAAAAAAAGTTTTTAAAAAAAAGCATAAACTGACTTGGTATCTATCAAAATTAATTAATTTTAAATTAGGATCATGAGGAGAAATACGATGGGTAGGATTTCCCTCATGACAAAACGTAATGTCCGTCAAATAAACCCCCAAGAATGGTAAACAAGGTGTATGTGCTTTCCGTAGAGCAGCTCGATATTCTGCATAGTTTCGATGATGATTGACAGCTTTATTTAAACTATCATAAATCGTCTTGGATTTAGCTCCAACGGCTTCCCATGTACGTTTTAATCGAGTGATGGTAGATGAGTTTAATGCACTCATCACTGCCATCAATCCATTATAATTTTGTAACTCGAGAAATCGCTATTTGGAAAAAAAATCAGTCTTGAGAGAGAGAGAGAGATGGGATGAAAAGTGGTTTGAAAACTTACAGCTCCTACTTTTAAACAATACTTTAAAATCTGACACCGTTTCCTAACATCATCTTCATTCAATATACATTCCGTATACCATCCAGTAGCTCTAGTGGTCATCACACTCATAGCCCTCACATTCGATGCATCACTACACTTCTTACTGAAATCTTGTCCAATGATTTCTTCAGCCGAGATCCCACAATACAACTTGGATTCCAATAAAGTAATCTGTCTAGCCAATTCAGTCGGATCAATCTCCATAATACTCATCTCACTAGTCGAATTCATCCCTCTAAGCATGCTCATCACTTGTTTAGACACAATCGGTAAAGGTGGAGCAGAGGTAGGTGTGCCATTCAAGATCCCACCATGTTCGGTTTGATGATGAATCAAAGGAGTTCGAGTAGGTAAAGACGAATTGTTTTGTTGTGCTTCTTCAATCCGACGATGTACCAAACTCAAAAACCTTTCAGCCGGGATCCTAAGCACTTGTAACATAATCGTCTTGGCCCAATCAGCAATCATCGCCAGTGCTGCCGAATCAGTTTCCGATCTCCAATGAAGTTCTAACCATGTCTTCAGAACGTTATAGACTCTTAGACGAATCGGCATAATCTTATGAACTTGCCATCGTTTCTGTTCTTCTACACTTGCGCTTTGATGATTCGGAGGTCCTTGAATCGAAAACCTTGAAATCAATGCTCTAGCAAATTCAACCGGTGTAGTAAACATTCGGAACGTAAGGAAAAAGGTACGAGAGAAGGCTGCTTCGATAGGTGTATCATGTAACGTCATCCGTTCTACCAAACCACGTAGTGTACCACCCATCACATTTCCTTCGGCATTAAAGCTCACTTCTTCCGGAGGGTAATCTCGACTAGAAAGCCAATCTTTAGGTTGTCTTGATTCGAGCGTGACCGTAGACTCAAAGGAAACAATCGTATTGGTCGATGCAGTGCTCAGAAGAGTAGTTTGGGTATCTATACTTGACTTGTGGATCCTACGTTCTTCAGAGATAGAGATACTAGCAGATGAAGGTGGAGTCGATTCTCGAGATCCATCTGTTCGAAGTGATGAAAGAGAATTCGATCTTGGTCTTGAGATATCTTGACCTGAATCAGAAGCCAAGGAGATGACCGAGAAACCACGTTGAGAAGATGAAAAGGAAGTGTCTACCGATTCTGGACTACTTTGAGCTGTCGAAGGTTCTATGAAACCATCAAAAGGTGAGTTTAACAAATTTTCACAAAAAGATATAAAAGTAACGTACGAGCAAGTGTGCTAGAGTTAGGTCCATGGTCAGATGAATCATTCCATTCACTCGAATGCACTTTCTCAGCTTGCATTGAGATCTGATCTGGTAAATGACCATCATCATACTCAGAATCAGAGTCAAGAGAAGGACATTGAAGACTATTCCCTTTGCGACCCAACATTGAAATCGTGTGCCGAGGTCGTCGACCAGGTGTAGGAGGCGAATGATTCCGAAGACCTTCACTCAAATGACTAGTCGATGCTCTCGATTCTCGACCGTTCTGACTACTAGGCTCAGTCGTAAACGCATCCGCAAACATCACCTCATATCCACCAGTCTCAGGCAGTTGACCTTCTAGACACTGACTAGCTGAAGCCATACATTCATTCGCAGCTCTTAACAATGAAGTCGCAGCCATCAACAATGCATTCTGTTCGCCTTCGAGTGGTGGAGTAGGCTCTTCGAGAGGTCCAGAGGTAGCCACCCGAGCTGCAGTGACCAGACCAGTGGTAGCCAGATAGAGCGCTTCTCGTGCTTGTGTCAATTCGACATATGCATTCGAGACAACCGATTGACTAACACCTTGCTTCGAAATCGATTCTACCAAGACTAGCATTTCCCGTACTCGTTCAATCACGTCGCGAGTCATATCAATCAAATACGCGTGACTCGAAGGATGTGCGTTATTGGAATGAATGTGTGCATGACCAATGAAGACAGCCACAGTAGATAAGACACAATCATGAGCTTGTTCTAACATCTCAAGGACTTCACGAGTGATATATTGTCCATTAAAGTTGGGTATTTGGTATTGAGAAATCGAAGTTGAAGCACGAGGTCGAGTAGAACTAGCAGTAGAAGGAGCCGATTGATGAAATGAACTTTGTTGACTGGTTTGACGAATTGGTAATCGATGAGAATCTTCGGAAAAAGCAGGACTATGACTTGGAGAATGAGATAATCTTGGATCATAAAAAATAGAAGAAGTTGTACTGGTAGTAGAAGCCGAACGAGGTGAACGTTTTTCATCGATAGTCGAAAGTGAATGAGTTGAAGTATCTAAATAAGCTAATTGACTGACTGGTTCATTAGTAGGACTGATTAAGATACCAGAACGATGAGCAATCAAAAGAAACCTTCGAACGTTATGAAAGACTTTTTCAGCTGATTGAAGTATCTCAGTTAAATGACTATTAAAGATTCCAACTGGCATAACTTGTCCTTCAGATTCATTAAGCTTGACTTGATTCGTGTGTTCAATCGTCAATCTACGAGCTTTATCCACCAAAACACCCAAGACTGATAACACTTGTTTTCGTTCACGCGTCACAGGAGGATGAAGTTTTAAGATGGGTGAATCTCGATTTAAACAATCAGTAAAAGTCAAAAGTGATCGAACAGCAGAAATGATATTAGCTGTAGCCGGTTGAACAGTGGCAATTCTACCCTCTTGAATTTCTACTCTTAATAAATCAATCGACTTTCTTATCGGATCTGAAAGAGTGACTGAAGCAGTCGAACTTCCAGTGACAAAGCTCTCGTTCGGATCACTAGATTCACTTGATGAAGAGTATAAGGTGGGTTCGATACTGATAGTAGGTGATGAGAATGAATGATCTGAGCGGACAGATAGAAATGAGGCTGGGACACTACGACCATCTGGCACAGATGAGGCAGTGGTGGTCACAGAGGCTACCGAGGCAATCGAAGGTTTCTAATCATTCAAAATTCAAGATTATTCAATCAGATCAATGTGCAATGAAGTGGAGAGGAATTTCAAAAAAAAGAACACTAACCTTGCGAGCTGGAAAAGGCAATTCATGATCCCGTAAAGAATCAAGAGGAGTGACATAGTTACTTGGGAACCAACCACGGCAAGGAGGTGTCGAAGAATCTTCATCTTCCGATACTGTCTCTCCATCCCACCAACCTGATCCATCTCGATTTAAAACACGAATGACCTGACCGGCTGAAAATGATAAACAAATATTGGAGCCAGAGCTAAGAGATGTGAAATCATGTATAGCCACTACAAAGTCATCTACCAATTCGGGACGCGTAGGTTCGGCTAGACTAGCAGAGTCCATGGTTGAGTGAGTTGATGAAGGGGAGTTGAAAGGCTACGAGGGAGAGAAGGAAGAGAGATAAGGTATTGGGGTGCAATTTGTTTTTCTTTGGAATGTTGTGGTGCTTGTATATGTAAAAAAAAACAAGTTGGAGAATTAAATCTGAATGTCTGAATGAGAAAAGAGAGAGCACTATTCTACGAGTCAGTTCAAAACTTCAAGTGTGCTGTGAGAAAAGAAATTGTCAAATAGGTCCGGCCATTAAGCACCACAGGTGGAGCCTGAGAAGGGAAAGCGGATGTCAATTGAGCTTCAAGTCAGGCTTCAAATGGAGGTCAAAGGCCGGGGCACGAGGTGTCATCTGCTCAATCAATCTCGTGTGAGTCGATGATACGAGAGCATAAAGCTGAGCATAGACCTGGCTGGTTAATGTATCGAAATAACATATGTGTAACACCCTCTCACGAGGCACGACCTGACAGGACTCAAAGGTTCAAGAATCCAAGACAGCTAGACAGAAAAGATTGAAGGAAAATAGACCAAGAGGATCCACTTACCCGGTGAAAGAGAGGGTGATGACACGGTCGTGAATCGTGATAGGCGAGTTAGAATTGGAATCCTCGATACCGCCCAATGATATAATTTGATAAACTTGTGAGATGAAAACTTATTTGAGTCAAGACCAAAGCGCAATCCGAGTGGGAAGAAGAGAAGATCAGACCGAATTCAAAAATTAATATCCGAGGAAGTAAGAGAGATGCATAGAGAAAGAAGCATGTCAAAAGATCAAAGCAGGAGAAGTGGATCATTTGACAGTTATTGTATGCAGTTAAATCCAATGCAGTGCTGCCAGTGCTACCCAAAGGAATGAAAAGGACAGCACCGATATACATGGTATGTGAAGGGAGAATTAGAATAGATCTCAAGCACCAGAGAAGGACATTAGAGGATCTGCGCTGATCTGAGTTCTAGTCTACACACACTAGCTCATAACTTGAACTACAGAGTCGAGCTGACTTTATATTTTGAGTTCAATTCCAGCGCCAGTGGAAAGAGTTAAGAGTCAAAGTGAAAGAACGTTATGTATGTAGGTAGGTAGGTGAACGAAGTCGGCAAGGAGTACAGCTAATATAGAGGAAAACTTGATAAAAGAAAAGAAATCTGCGGGAAAGGATCACAAACCAAGTGAAGTGGATTGAATCGGGTGAAATGAACGTTGAAAGCTTCCTGAAGGGTATTTGTTTGTTGTAAAAAAAAACTTGGATTCCCTGGATGAGTGCGTAAAGACCGACCTAGCTAGTGTGTAAGGTCTGGGCAATCGATCACGGCTGAAGATTCAAGACAGCTACAATTTTTTTTTTGAATGAATGCCAAAAAAAAGGATATGTGTAAAGTTAAAAGTGTGTGTTGTATTTGGTGATATGAAGTATCAAATCGAATCGAATTGATTGAAAAGTTTAAGGATGGAATGAAGATAAATTGAAAGTTGGGCAGAATTATAAAGAACTCTATGAACTGATACATAAAGCGGAAAGGAAAGAAGGATTCACAAGAGATTGACAAGAAAAAAAAAACAAGGTATGTACTAAAACTGGAGGAACAGGTACATATACAAAATTAATTGTGCGCATCAACATTTCCTTTTTGTTTTCTGTTTCCTTCTACTCACACAAAATCAGGACATCGATGGACAGAAAGATGAAGAATGTTCATTTTAAATCAAGAGCTCATATATGTTGTTGTAAATACCATCTCTTTTTTTTCCTTCTGTCCTTAAAACTTCTCAACTTTACACCTTTTCAAAGTGTAGTGTATATGTACAGTACAAATCGATTATTCAAAGCCGATTAAATTCCTCTCCTCTATATTGCACTCTTCCTATTTCAAAGCACAGACATCTTTATGTATGTATTGGAGTAAGATGTACTTTTTTTTTCAAAAAAAAAAGTTTGAATCGAAAAGAGATTCAAATAAAGTTAACAAAAATATGATCAAGAAGTCAGTTCATTGAAATTTGACGGCTTGGTTTCTGTAATCTATGGACAAATTTGATCAAGTTTTGAATCCAAGCCACATGTTTATCATGTGGTGCATGAGTCTTGTAGGTGTTGTGGCAAATTGTAAAATACGATAGACTTTTTAAAACAATCGGACGGTTTATTTATCTCGACGATGATCGCTGCATAATGATGTGGACATCGGTGTCAGTATGTAGCAGGACACAAAAGATTTCCGTCGCCGGATATCAAGGACAAGGTTCGGCTTCATAGTTGGTTTGTACGCCACTCAGTCTGTCGATCATGAAATTCAGGGCTTTTTAAACTCGATGTCGGTCTTCTCGCACGGGAGTTTCAACCGCAATATCGAGATGAAAGTCTATCAAGAATGCTGCGATGTCTATCAAGGATCATGCAAATTGTGGACAGGTTCCCTGGAAGCGAACGGAGAAAAGGGACTTGAAGGCAAATTGATCCGGGGATGGGCTTGATCAAATCATGGAGGTGTCCACGTGAGTGGACTGAACGATTACGGCTCTTATGTGTCGGCAGTGCTAGGATGGCACCTTTTTCGCATATAGCGAGGCACAAGAGTGCGAGAAGTTAGGAATAAACTGGAGAATTATTGCATTATGACGACGATCGTTCGTGAGGACATCAGAGTCTCAGCGGTAGAAAAGAAACAGAAAGAGACAAGAGAAAAGACATATGCAAAATCGGTATCAGAGGCCGTGGAGCACCATCGCAGGTTCAAATAACAAGTAAGATCAGAGAAAATCATGAGGGGAAAACATAAAGCTCAGAGATACATTTCTAATTGCGTAGGGTTCACTCGAGACAAAAGAACCTTAGAGGAGGTTACCTAAAAGGTTTGAAACACCAACACCGAGTCCAGTCAAGAGGTCTCCAACACCGTTGAGAACAGGACGGATGGCTAGAAGGACAGGGCTTAGAAGCTGAGCAAGAAGTCCGACGTGTTGTGGGGGGAAGATGACACCTCCGGTTTGGAACCAAGCGTTGGTTTGAATACCGCAAGAGTTGAACAATTGGAAGTTGAATTGGTTAGTGATGAAAAGTTGTTGCATGTTGACGTTCAAGGTGGCACCGATACCGATGATGGTTTGGAATAAGAGCGATAAGATCGAGAATTCCTCTGTAGGAAAGATACACGGAGTCAGCATATGAAAACAGGGAGAATATGTTTTTCACTTACGTTGGAAAACAACGATTTGACCACCAAACTGGGTGTAGATGAACGAGACCATTGATTGGACTTGAATGATGACTTGGGTGACAGTTTGAGTGAACTGAGAAGGCATGTCATCATGAGTGTGGCTCGCCAAAGCCAAAGATAATGAAGAAACTCACCGCGATTGATTGTCCGGGGTTGCAAATGTTACATCCGGTTTGGAAAGAAGCAAACAGGGTGGACATACTGACGATCATGTATTGGAACTGTTGGTGGATGATCTGGATTGATGAAATACCCTGCCAGGCCGAGACAGTGCTGGTACAAGCGGTAGAAAAGACATTCATACTGCTGGTGAAGGATGAAAAGCTGCTGAAAGATCCTTGTTGGCTGAAGACGACAGGGCCTTGAACGAAACCACCGCCTCCGTTAAAGGCAGGGACGCCGACGGGACATCCACTGAAACATCTTGTGGTGACTTTGTGATCACTTCATGAGGGTAGAGCGGTCAGCGAGAAGACTTTTCCACGAAGATGAGGGTGGAACTCACCCAGCTGACTGCTCCGATGGGCTACGGACAACCAATTGTCCAGCAGATGTAAAAATGCAACGTTAGCAAGAGAGACTGTAGTACCATAGGAGTATCACACTTACATGGGAGTCGGGGAAGCTGCAACGACGGCTGGAGTGTTCAAAAGACGCCACAAATAAAAAGAGTCAATAAAGGATAGGTGTGGTATTAGGAGAGTAAGACGCACCAGCAAGCACGAAGCTGGAAACGATGGTAGACAGATGCATATTTGGTGGATTTTAAAAAACGTGCGGTAAAGCGATTCAAAAAGTATCTGCGAGAGTAAAGAAGAATGGTTAGAACTACGAGTGAAACTTTCAGACGACGAGCAGAAAAATTTACTGGATCTATATGTACTGCGAAAGATTGACAAAGATTATAATAATCTATAATATAAGGGAAATATTAATTAAGAAGTTGAGAAGCTGAGATGATAATGGAAAGCGGATGAGGAGGGAAAGAAGGAAGGATGATGGAGGTGAATTTATAGTGATTTTGCTACTGCCAGAACTCCACCTCTGCTGCCGAATTTCCAACAACCACGTACAAGACATTATCATCAGGTGATCATTCAAAGAACTCTCAGTGTACTTCCTTCGGATCACAGGAAATGAGTGATGACATCTTTCTCGAAGCCGTCAGATACACAAATTATCAAATTATTGGATTGTTTCCAATTGCAAAAAAACTCTCTGGATTTCCTGGCAAATGCTTCTTGTACCACGCAAGAACACGAAACTCTACAATTTGACATATTCGAAAGGCAATTTATCTTTTATGAATTTCATTTTTCAGAGAAGCCAAGGTCTTCCTGAGATTCAAGAATCAAGATGCAAGGTGGCACGACAGGGCGGCTGTGTTATTAAGTGATATATATTGCTTCGATGGATTTCAAATTTCCGTCGAGAGATTGATCAAGTTCGGATTGGCAGGGATCCTATCCTATCCCATCCCTTTCGATTGATTGCAACTTGAGCCTGGCTGCCTGTAGACAGTATTACATAAATGAATGTAGGAGATACAAGGTCCGAAGCATCAATTATCATGTTAATTGGAGAGTCGATGAATAGATTATCGAGAGCAGGAATATCAGGGAGGATTTCAATTTTTTTTTAAATCTCTCGACATGGAAACCTAGAATCCAGACCCATATGAAAAAACCATGGGGGACAGTACTGACATATGAAGCGAAACCATTTTGCTCGACCAATCAGCAGATGCGAACAATAATTTTGAATCAAAATGCCAAAAATGTTGGCGATATAACTTGATCAAATATGAGAAGAACTTTGAAATTGCTCATTCACTCCTCCCTAGCATCTGGTACCTGTGACACTGTGTGGAGCGTCAAAATGAGCCTGCAGATGAGCTCAAGAAGCTTGACCTGATTAGCTCCAACGGTTTGTCTGCAATCCGGATGTCCTCTGCTTTTTTATTCTACTTTCTCTTTTCTCTTACCTCAAAAATAATTGCATGCTCTTTTCGCCTCTTCGTGGATTCTTGGAATACCTTTGAGGAAACATAACAAACTCTCTACTTATCTGTCAAATATGATCCATGAAAACATTGCTTTTCTCGTCGTTATCAATCTGTAGGAATTAGTCATTGGTTGAGATATTTGAGTCACGCTTGCATGCTTTTACCTGGGGAATTTTTTTAATCATGACTGAGTTGAATATCTATGTTGGGTGTTGGAGGAGTTATTTTTTCTTCAAATCTTTTAGAATAAACTTTCAGTGAATTCACTTGCCTCCTGGTCTCTGGTAGATTGCAAGGACGTATATCAACTGAGAAGAAGGATATCTTCTCGAAATTTTGTTTTAAAAAGTTTACTCACTGCTCAACCATTCAGATGTCATGCCCAAACAAATCAAAACTTGTTTTTCTTGGCAAAAAAAATTGACTCTTTCAATCAGAAAGTATTGCACCAACAAATATTTCACCAGAGTCTTCACCTCCAGTTTGAAAACGGTTTGAATCGACTGGGTCGAGAGAGATTGAATTAGAAAATGTACATATTTTGTAAAAGAGGAAAGAATGAAGTTAGATCAACTACATTTCAACAAACTGTAGTTTCGCCCCAATTGTATTCCAGCTTTCATCCGAACAAATTACACAGCAATTTACGGTTTACCCTTTGAGGTCTTGAAGTAAAGAAATTGGACCAATCATTTGTTAACCTCGAAGACGAAAGAAAGAAGAAATCAAGTTGAAGATCGATAAAAGGAATGGTGTCCGTTAGTCTTTCTCTAACTGGTTCTAATCTCCATTCTTTTAATTTGCGTCAAAAAGTAAATAAGGTGCATAACTAATTCAAGTGAATTGATTTGATTTGATTGAAAACAATAGCAAGAAATTATATTATCCAGGATTAACCAATCCAGGATCGAATCTATGTTTCTTAAATGCAATAATTCAAGCACTGGGATCAATTCCATCAATGACAGAGTATTTAAAAACCATTCTACAAAAAAGTCATGAAACTCAACAAGAACAACCAAGAATACCTATAGTAGTAAAAGCATTAAATGAAATCATCGAACTTGTGAATAACACTCAAAATAAACCAAAAGTATTAAGTTCTAGAGGTGTGATTGAAGCATTATTAGAAATAGAAGGAAATCAAAACCAAATCTTAAATTCAGATCAACAAGATGCTCATGAGTTTTTTGTAGTTTTAATGGATGCAATCGAAATCGAAGTTCATAGGTTATTAAACCTTGGTATTGATTATTCAACTTCTTCAAATGGATTGATCGAACTTCTTTCTACGAAATCAAGATCAAAAGTTAATGAGATTAGTGAATTAGATCTCAGTTTAAAAGCTGTAAGAAGTCCTTTTACGAGTTTGATGGCTGATCGAATTGGTTGTGCTACTTGTGGAAATTCTTCTGCTATTCGACATCAACCTGCTGATCAATTCTCATTCAACGTACCCATGACTGTAAGTGATTCAGATTCTATGTCAGATGCACATCAGATGATTGCATACACTGATTGATTTCATATCTTATTGCTCTACATTCAGCCCGAATGTCAACTCGAAGATTGTTTAAAGGATTTCACTCAATTAGAACTCTTAGATGAATATAATTGTAGAAGATGTTCAATAATAGAAGCTAATCGAAGAATGAAATCTGAACTCGATCAACTCTCATCTCAGCCCACCTCAATCTCAAAAGATAAAAAGAAAAGAATTAAAGAATTAAAGAAATTGATTGATGAAATCCAATCAGTTCTTAAAAACAACGATGAACATTCAATCTTCAGCCAAAAACTTGAAGCTGAACTATTTCCAATCATGAGCCGAGCCACGACCAAACAAACGATGTTTTCAAGGGTAAGTTTATCAATCTCTTTTAATTCGTTCATTTTTTTTGTAAAGTATAGGATCAAGCTAATATAACATTTTCGAATTAAAATAGCCACCTAAAGCTCTCATGATACATTTATCAAGATCTTCATATTATAGAAAAGGACAGATTTTCAAAAACAATTGTAAAGTGAATTTTCCCGAAATCTTAATCATGGATAGATTTACCACCACATATGAATTAAACCGTAGAGCAGAAACCTCAATTTCAAGACACAATCTAAATGATCAAACTAAAGCTGAACATGTTTATCAATTAGTTTCAGTAGTCGTTCATTTTGGAAATCATACATCTGGTCATTATATTACTTTTAGAAGGGTTGAAGAGATTAATTGGATTAAGGTTTCAGATGAAGATGTGATTAGGTGTGAAAAATATGAAGTGTTTGGTGCTAATCCTACAATTTTAATTTATCAACGTTTGTGAAGGTTTGGATTTAGAGGAAACAAAGTATTTAGGATCACATGATCTTTTAATTTGATGAAATATAGCTTTAATGAATGATTGTCACGATCCCAGTGTATTATTAGATTCAATGATCACCATACTGATCTGACCTTGGTGATGATGAAAGTGAGAGTGATCTTAAGTACATTTTTCTTGGTTGTTTCATCTGGAGAATCAATTAATCAAAGGATGAAACAAGATTTAAGAAATCCAGTTTCTTTCTCACATTCCTATAAAGAAAGATGTATTTTTTCTCTTAATTGTAATATATACATCAATTCAATGATTTCTCTTGATAATTCACTTGTATTGTCATTATCTGCGCGCATGGTCTATAGTGAACAGAGTCTCACAAATGGAAAGGAAGTCTTTTCAACTGACAAGAATGTCCTCTCTCATTAGAAGCGAGAAAAATGTTTTGTCACAGATTGAAAGTAATTACAAGCATATGAATAACAAAGATCAGATACAAGTAATCATACCAATTGTAATAAAGGAAAGTCATTTAAAGAGAAAGAAGGTTACCACTTGCCTTATGTTCTGGTCTAGCTTAACAAAGCCGAGGGTTTTGTTGTGAAGTTTAAATAAATGTCAGAAAGCTTGCACAAACTTACTTGTAAAACCTCCTGAGAGCTCAAGAAGATTGACAATAACAGGGACTTTGTTCCACACTTTATGAAACCTGATGCACTTATTCTTGATCAATATTTACACTGATCTCACAAAAACTATGGCCTACATATCATCCCTGGTTCAAACATAACAAGTGATGTCCGGGACAAGGCAAAATATGACTTGGTTATTCCTGATCACACAACTTCAAGATGTTCTCGAATTTTACAAGGCAGCACTTGTGAAATCAAAGTGTACAGAGCATTCTATGAAGATACGAATCATCAGTTCTGGTACCTGGGATCTCACGTGTCCTTGAACTACAAGTGTTTGTGTGATGTACAGCTTTCACGATTGAACGACACTAGATGATGATGATCCTCATTTGGAGGTGAATGGGTGGTATACTAGGTCGTGGATAAGTAGCCTTACATTGTGTAAAGCTGGAGTCCATGGGTCAAGTAAAAAGTTCTATGCTTCATGTAAAGGTCTTATGGTGAATGTGTTCTCAGGGTTGTTAAGCAGAAAAGCCTCTATCATTTCATCAAGTCAACGAGATTATCTGACTGATTTTTTCTGGAGGAATCTTCAATCAATCAAACTTTTGTGAAGTGATGTACACGAGTCGTGTATCAAAAATACATTTGAGTTTTCATGCTTTGACTCTACTTGACAGAACTTTTTTATGAATTACTTTTTAACGTTACAATTGTGTGGAGTGTTACAAATCAAGGACTTTTTTTGGATATAATCGAAGTAAAGATGTTAAAGAACCGGAGCTGTGATACAAATGTGAGAACAAGACTAGCAAAACAGAATAAGAAGATGTAATCGAGTCTCAGATGAGTACGATCTCCCCATTTGCATCCACATCATGAAGACTAGGAACGACTAGGAGCAGCTTTAGGCGAAGCGTTGGGTGGAGCGGACGAGGTGGTGGTCGACCCAGGCTTGGGTTTAGGCGCGTTTGGTGGACTCGAACCTGATCCCTGTGCCTTCTTAGCCATAGCCTGTAATTTTGCACATGCATCAGCATCAGTGGCTGCTGTGCCAGTCTTGCTATTGTCTCCAGAAGGAGGAGCTCGTCGGACCAGACTATTGATAATGATTCTGAGTCAGTTCAACTTACAATTTCAAGCAAAGTTCGAAAAGACTTACGAAGAGCTATCGGACCCAGAAAGAGCGCGACGAGTCTTGGGAGAGGCAGTAGGACCTCCAGCACCTGATTTGTTACCTTCGATCATCTTGATGATCGCGGCACACAACTTGGAATCGCCTTGAAGCTTGTTATCAGGACTACCACTTGAGCCTGAGCTTGCAGGAGCCTTGTTTTGACGGCTGTTAGAAAAATCAAGAGAAAAGGTTTAATGTGATTGAAATGAAAATTTGAGATGCGGGAAGTAAACTTGCGTGGACAAAGAATTATGCTCAGCATGATCAATCAAATCACGGCGACTGCGAGTAGCAGCTGGGGACAAAGCGTCGGTTGCAGCGGGTGGGGATGGCGGGGGTTTAGGTTTAGGCTGACCTGATCCTTTTGGCTTTTTGTTGTCACGGCTGTTGGAAAAAGCAAGGGAAAAAGTTCAATGTGAATGAAATGGAATGCTTGAAACTTGGAGGTAAACTTACGTGGACAAGGAGTTATGCTCGACATTATGAATCAGATCACGACGACTAGGAGCAGCTTCGGTCGCAGCGGCTGGGGGTTTCGATGATGCATCTTTAGTTTTAGGCGGCGAACCTGATCCTGGCGGCTTTTTATTAGCCATCGCAGCCAGCTTTGAACATGGATCCGAGGCAGCAGCTCCTGCTCCAGACTTGCTGTCGCCTGACTGAGGAGCTCGACGAGTCAAGCTATGGGTAACAAGTCTGAGTCAGTTTAAATTATACTTTCAAGCACCTTTGGGAATTGACTTACTGGGAGTCATCAGACCCAGACAGATCACGACGAGTCTTGGGAGCGCCTCCACCACCCGATTTGCATCCTTCGACCATCTTGATGAGCGAGGAACATGTCTTGGGATCACCTGTAAGCTTGCCATCACCACCACCACCACTCGAGGGAGGCTTGTTTTGACGACTATTGGAAAAGCAAGAGAAAGAGTTCAATGTGAATGAAATGGAATGCTGAGAAGTTGGAGGTAAACTTACGTGGACAAGGAATTATGCTCGACATTGTGAATCAGATCACGACGACTTGGAGCAGCTGTGGTCGAAGCGGCCGGAGGTGTCGACGATGGACCTTTAGGTTTAGGCGGCGAACCTGATCCTTGCGGCTTTTTATTAGCCATTGCCGCCAATTTTGAGCATGAATCCGAGGCAGAAGCTCCTGCTCCAGCCTTGCTGTCGCCTCCCGGAGGAGCTCGACGAGTCAAACTATAGGTAATGAATCAGACTCAGTTCAAGTTACACTTGCACCTGGAAACAAATCTTATGAGGAATTTGATAAGACTTACGGATAGTCATTAGAACCAGATTCAGAAAGATGACGACGAGTCTTGGGAGCAGCTCCACCGCCCGATTTACAACCTTCAATCATCTTGATGAGCGAGGAACAAGTCTTGGGATCACCTTGAAGCTTGGCGTCAGAACCACCAGCACCACTTGCGGGAGACTTGCTTTGACGACTATTAGAAAAGGTAAGATAAAATTTTCAATATGATTAAAATGAAATGATGAGAAGTGGGAAACAAACTTACGTTAACAAGGAGTTATGAGCAGCGTTATTATCTACCTGTTGATTAGTAGCCAAAACGATGGCCAAGGTAGCAAAACTGACAGTGATTCCAAAACGCATGATGAAAGAGGGCTCGAAAATGAAATTTTATAAGAAATTCAAAAAAAAGAAATCTAATCAAGATCAAAGGACTGAAAAGTATTAGGTAGTAAGAAATGTAGAAAGGGTCAATTCGCAAGGAATGGTAAAGTTGTAAAGAAGATTGAACACGAAAAAAAGAGTTTAAAGATGGATTTTTCTAATTAAAGAAGAATGATGCTATATACAATCAATGTCTAGATAAAGAACAGAATGGGAAGATATAAAACAAGTAAATTTGTTAGGATGAAGTGAATGAAGGAAAGACGTACCAAGAGTCATGCTTTTGTAGCGTTTTGAGATCGTTTCACTTGGGCTTCATCGTCATGCATAGCAAGGCGAATGACACCAATCCATCATCTCTTCAATCGTTCCGTGGCAGGAATGCGAATGAAAACCGCCCGCCAGGTAAGGGTATCGAATTCGGGGTCATGCCAGGCGCCGACCCTTATGAGGTATGGAATTCGCGACTTGCCTGACCTTCAACATCAGATTGATCTCTCAACAACAATTGGCGACAGAATTCTTCTCAACCTTCCTCATCACACACATTTGATGTTCATTTCGGTTCTTGATTGTGGTCATCAGGACTCGAGTCCCATGCCATCCTAACTTGACACGCCATCCTTGTAATCCATGCGCGTTCAAGATTGTATCTCGTTTCTAATCGATCTTGAGATGTATGAGGAAAGATTACAGGTTGTAACTTATCTTCAGGAGCCACCCTGATTGTAATACCATCAGTCATCTCCGGCAAATATGCGATGATTATTCAAAACCCATCATTCAAACTTCTTTACCGTTTCCAAATACCCTACATTTACTATTTATATTTTGTACTATCCATTGAAGCTTTTCTTTTGGCACGAAGCTTTAAAAACCATTCGTAGAATCTAAAGGATCTTAAGAATGTTTTGGTCCAGGTGTATTACCAGATATCAAATCGCTAAGAACTTCTTTACCAGGACATCGAACCGTTCTATTTTACCAATCGAGACCCATCATTCAGACTAATCCATCACTCAAGTCGAACCCATCTCACACCAAGCTACCACCACTTGCATGCTCAAAGTTGCTTGAAACACAGCTTCAAAACTATTCACGTTTATTCAAATCGATCTGATGGGTTCTTTAACACTTATCAAATCGACCTCAAATCGGATCATCTGCTCGAGTCTCGAGATGATAAGAGGAGATTATCGATCAGATTTAATATCTTTAATGATTAATGATAATGATCATCACCTTGATTCACCTGAATTCCCAAAGGGAGATGTGGTGATAATCTTCAAGTTGATAGGAAATCTAAGAAACCTACTGTTTGGGAATAAGAGGTTGTTCGTAAACCCAGAGGTTGCAATTTGTTTCAACGTATCTTTTAGGCTTTGGATGCTATATATAGTCAAATCACAAAAGCTTGCCACAAATTCCCCGCCAATTTGCTCGAGTTTGGAGGGCGAATTTGGTCAAGCAGCAAGCTTTTGTGATTTGATTATACAAAGTATGACGACGATTTTCATGAATTTGAGTTCACTGATTGAAAACATGAATCTACACACTTCAGCTAGCTTCAAGTTGTCCAGAACTGAAGACTCAAGAGTGAAAGACGGATGACGAATCGAAAATGATGATTAGATAACTATATAGTTCAAAATCAATGGAAGATTAATGTTTTGATGAGTTCCGAGGTTAAAAGTGTTAATTTTAGAAAAGCTTGTCCAAGTTTATCCGCAAAAGTCGAGCAATTTGGCTTGGAAGTTTCGGTGAGCTTTGTAAAAATCGACAGTATCATCAAAGAAGTTGAATTTGAAAATTTGTATTTGAAATTACAAAAACTCCGATGAACCCAATACACTCCAAACTTGATTGTTTTTTGTAATCATTTGGATAGATTTGGATTGTACTTCACATTAGCTCCACTTTTCTTTCTTTTTTCTTTTCTTTCAAACTCAATTGTAATTGAATTTCTCTCTGTTCATCTAGATCTTGAAATTGATTGTGCATTCTCACTTATTCTTATTCTTATTTTTCATTCTGTTTGAAAACTTGACTTATTTTGTTAATCTTCCTTTTCCTTGAAATCTCAATCACCCTCAGAAGATGACGACGGTCCATCACGATGAACGGCCACCACCATCAAATCATCATCAAGAACAGCAAAAACAAGAACAACAACAACACAATTTGATGAATGTAAGTTGTTTTGTTCAGGATTGACAAACTTTCGTTGGATTGAAATTCAATTTTGATATGATGGGTTCAAACAGCATCAACCATCTCCAACTCAATCATCTTCATTGAGCTCAAGTCAACTTGATCAGAACACTAGGTTCTCAATCATCCAAGAACTCATCACAGGCGAAATTGATTATCTTGATGATCTTAATACTTATCAATCTGTAAATTCCCGACCTTCTTTTTGAACATCAGTAAATTAACCCGTTTTTTAAACTAATTCTGACATTGACTCTTTTCTGTTGCGGATTGAATTATTTCCCCCCCCGAAAAAGTTGTTCATTATCCCCCTACAAGACCCCACGCCTCCTACCATTTTTCAACACGACTATCTAGAGAAGTTTGCATCAAAAGTGTTTTCTACAATTCTAGAAATCAAGGATCATCATCAATCATTCTTGAACCAAATTATAAAACCTGAGAATACTGATTTAATTCCTCAATTGATCTTGACCTTTGCTTTACGATGGTCAAACCTATATACTTCTTATGCTAAGGATCATCCATTAGGTGAATTCCAAATTGAAAAACAAATGATTCTCAATCCTCTCTTTGCCGAATTAATTGAAGTGAGTTTTCCAAATTTTATCGCGGTGAAGTTTTGTTGGAAAGAAAATCAAAGTCACTCATTTTTCTCTGATTTTTCAGAGTATTCCTAAAAGAAATGTTAAGAAGAAAGACTTTCGTCATTTTTATTCTAGACCTACTTTGAGATTAGTAAGATATTCACTATTATTAAATAGATTGATAGAAAACACTCCAAAGGATCATGTAGATTTCAATATATTAACATCGGCTACCGACCTGATCAAAAATCAATGTCGAGAATGTAACACCCTAATAGAACTGCAGCAAGATAGATTGAAGTTACTAAAGCTACACAAATCTATAATCAACAAACATGATTATACTGTTAGTCAATTCTTTGTTGACTTGATCTTTTACTCGGCTGACTATCTCTTTTCTCAATTTTCAGGCATTGCATTTAAAAGCTCCGAGTAGAAGATTATATTGTTCAGGAGAAATGATCAAAAAGAAGGAAGGATCGTTGAATAATTTTATGGAAGTCAATGGAATTTTGATCGACCATTATTTCATTATCACTAAACCTATACAAAAATCAAATCCATCAATCACATATCACGAAATCATTGAAGAACCCATCAGATTAGAATTTATGAAACTTTCGAAAACCGATGATCAACTAGCTCACAAAAAAGTTAATAAATTAAAATCCTTTTTACATAATAATTCGAATTTAAGCTTTCCAAATCAACCGTTAGTGTCGAATTCATTATTTCCTATTACATTTCAATCTTTTGGCGTATCTCCTCGTACGATTACAATCTACTTAGAAAATGAAAAACTTAGATCATTTTGGGTTGACAAATTTAATGAAGCAATTCATCAAAGATTACAAAATTTTGAACAAATCGAAGTATTCAAACTTTTACCGATCTTAAACTTTACGACAACTTCTTCACATCAATTGGAATTTCATGCTAAACTTGAAGAGTTCAATTCTTTATTTAATCGACATTCAGCTGATGAGCATTTATTGAAACAAAAAACCCCCAGACCATTACATGGAGTTGAGTTCATTTGTTTTTGTTTCATCAATCAAACTCATAATCACTAACTCACTCTTCCGCAATGAATTCAACTTTCACAGATTCCAACTTGTTCAGCTCAATTTATCTCTCAAGATGGAAATAACTATTTAGTTATAGGTTGTCAAAAAGGATTATGGATAGGTAAAAAACATCAACCTAATTCATTTCATTTCATCTTACCGAACTTAAAGAACATACAACAATGTGAAGTTTTAATGGAATTGAATCAAATCGTAGTCTTATCCAATTCTCAACTTTTCTTATACCCCTTAAATCAATTCTTACAAAAATCATCAACAAGAGATCGATCAAATTCATCACCTTTGATTGAAAAGCCTTCAAGACCTTGTACACCTTATGGTGGAACTACTACTCAGACTCGGGCATTGATTGAACCTAGCTTGAAATCTTATTATGATTCGAATCTTCATGAGTTTAGGAATTTGAAGAAGAGTTTGAATAGGAGTAGTTTTAACCTCGTTAAGAAATCAGATTCGACTTCATCATCATCATCATCTTCTTCATCTAATTCTAATTCTACTTCAAGTTCTAGTATTGCTACTACTTTCAATTCCTACAATTTCGATTCCAATACTTCTAATCCAAATCGAAATATCATATCATCTGATACAATCGTAAGTTGATTTGGTCTTTGACAAACGTTTTTGGAAACTTTTTCACTAATTGATTCTTCCTTCTTGTCATTGCCTTTTTTCTCTTTCTTTTTTTTGGTCAAACAGATTGAAGAAAGAAAATCTCAACAAGTTAGGGAAAATCAAAGAAATTTTAGAAGATCAGAAAGAGCTCATGAAATGAATCTACCGGTTTTTATTTCTGAAAGTAATAAAGAAGTCTCAACCTTTAAAATTGGTAGACTAACTGATCATCGAACCATTTTAACTTGTAAGTCATATAATCTCTCACTTTTCTTGACTTTGGGGTGTTTTGAAAATTTATTGATCAAAGGTTTTCTTGATAAATTTGAAATAGATGTTGAGAAATTAGATTCTGGTTGTCAATTAATAGTTTTAGAAATGAAAATGATTGACTCGTTTCCTAATTTCACACAATTAAAGGTAAAGCAAAATATTCATAGCATCCTGAACACACGATTCACAAAAGTACAAATGACTGATTTTTGTTGACTTGATTTTGTACATTAGAAAATCAATTTACAATTCAAACGAATTCAAGAAATCAAATTAATTAAAGATCAATTGATGATCATTGAATCATCTACAAAACAGTTTATGATTATAAACCTTTCAAATTCAAGAGATTCAAATTCAACTTCAAATCAAGAAATCATTAAAACTTTTTCAGTCTTGACTAAAAATGATTTAAACCTTTTGGCTAATCAAAGGTTTAAAAAATTAATCAAAACTTCACATTCACTTTTAAATTCATTTGAAGTTGAAGATGGATTAATTTTATTTTGTTTTGATCGTTGAGTTTCTTTTTCTTTTCTAATTGCTTATCAAGATTCAATCATCAAAGAAGTACAACTAATGATAATACTGTTTTCTTCGTAGGATTTGGATATTTCGGTAACATTGAAGGAATTAGAGATAAATCTAAACCTATTTTACAATGGGAATCCAATCAAATTAAATCATTTAAGATCAGCTTCAAAAAAAATCAAGACGATCGATATTTGATTATGATTGGATCGAATTCGATGATTGAAATATGGGATTTAATCAAATTTGAAAAGATTCAAGAAATCTTTTTACTTGGGCTTAATAGTTTATGTAATCTTGGGTTTGAGAATGGGAATGATGATTTGGTGATTCAAGTTGATGAACTTTCTAATCAACAACAAATCCAACATAATTTAAAACAAAATCAATCTTATCAAAAGCTTTATCAAATTGATGAAGATCAACATCAAGATCAGAAAAGCTTAAATCATAGAAATGCTTTTGATAATCTTGGTCAAAATTCTTCGTTTAAAGTTTTACAACTCTTTCAATTATGATCATATTAATTCAATTCCGTCTTTTTTTTTCTTACAACTTTTATTTTGAAAACCTCAAATCCGTTTTTTCTCTTTCTAAGCAAATGAACTTCCTTAATCATTACCTTTCCTTAAAGCCTTTTAATAAAACAGTTAACCATTTAATGAGTGATATATATATATATAGAAATTACATAAATTAAAATCGCATTCTCTCTTTCTTCTTCTTGTTTATAAACTCTGACTTTCTTTTCCTTATTATTGCTTTGGTTTCCTTTTGCATAACAGTCAATAAATGTATTTTCATTTCTCCAAATCATTTTTTCATGTAGTATTAGATTATACATTATAATGAATATATTTTACGAATTAATGAACTAGGTTTTTTTTCCTTTATTACTTTGCTTCTTTATTTAATGATATTTGTTTTTTTTACTTACTTACTTCTTGTCTTTGGATTCACAAAATCAATCGACAATCGTTTATTTTTATTCTTATTGTAACTTTATTTGGATATATATATATATGTGTGATAAATTAGATTTGTATATATGCTACAAAAACCCTTAATTATAAATTACTGCAACATTTTATAAATATATTAATTACTTTTTTTCAATTTCTCAAGTTCGGAGTTTGGTTTGAAACCAAAAAAAACAGGCTTTATGTGATTACATAGATTTTATAGTGGCATATGGGATGGTGTGATTTTTTTTGGGGAGGGGGCACAAGAGGCCCTTGGATATAGCTTGAAGCATATATACCAACCAAAAATCTCCCAAATTTTTGTGTTTTAGAGGCCAAGAATACCTGATTTTTTGGTATCATTTAGACCATTTTTTGCTTGAAAAAAGCTACCAGGATTACTTTCAGGTATATCTGAAAGGTCAAAGTGATGATCATATGTTTTTATATAGCTGGCTTGGGTCTTTCATGGCCATTTTATAAACTCACACCCAGTCAGTTGTTTGATGAAGTTTGGGCAATTTATTTTGGTGGATAACGGTGCATGAGGTATGTATGCCCTGTGACGCAGAGTGGATTGGTTTTGAGGGGATAAGGAGGGATAAGGAGTGGTGTGTATTGGTTTTAGGTATGGAAAGTGTGGACTTTGTGGAGAGAAGAATGCTTGATATTCTGACTTTAGCGGTTAAGTTCAAGTCACTTTGGTTTCAAGTCGATCAACTCTTTACCATCTTGACTGTATCCATATCATCATTCTCATTCTCACTCTCATTCTCATTGAATATATTAAAACTTTCAAGATGTTATATGTTGGTCATGCTCAAGTGAGTGCTCTTGAAGAAATCAAGTTCTTGGTGATGGTGATGAGCTAAAGATCGATCTATATTCCAGCTTCCAACTTCAGTTCGACATGCGATCAAGTGTTCATTTCTTGAACCTCATTCTCAGTCTTTAATCCTTTGGTGAGTCAACAGATTATCTTCAAGTAGTACTTCTTCACTCTTAGCTTATCATCAAATTGGTCCTTTCATCCAGTAAACCTTCTCAACTTGAGATTTATGCTATCGAACCTGATCAACTCAACTTACTTCATACCTTACCTGTCTTTGGTTTAATCGATCATATTCAATCTTACATCAAGCAACCCAATCAAACTGCTACCTTACTAGTTCTTACCTCTGAGTTGAACCTCTTCACTCTCAGATATTGTCCTCAATCTAAATCAGTCATCACTACCGCTACCATCTCACTCAATCAACCTGGCGCTCGACCTGCTGATTATCTTCAAACTTCGATTGTCGATCCACACTCTAGATGTCTTGTCCTTCATGCTCTCAATGGTATCCTTCATCTTATACCTTTGGAGCCAAGCTCAAAACCTAAGCCTAAGCATCTCGAACCATCCCTTGGTGGCAGACGCAAACGATCCACCATATCACTCAAATCTAATCATCCACCCAACCCTGATCTTGATACCAATATCGATCCTGATTCAGAACTCTATCAAATAGTTCAACTCAGACTTAATGAAGTCAATGTTCATGCACTCGACTTTGCTGCTTTACCTGCTCATCTTCCTCCAACGCTCTTGATCCTTTATTCAAATCACATGGGTCAACGTGTTTTACGAAGTCGGTCTATCGATCTCATCACAGCTAATTGCGATCAAGACATCTGTCCCAACCATCTCTGCCCTGATCTAGATACGAGTCTCATCATACCTATTCCTGATGATCAGGGTTCAGTTTTGCTAGTAGGTGAAGACTCAGTTGAACTGGTCTATCTAACCGATCGGCTCCCTAATCCAACCGGCAAAGGGAAAAGCCGCGATCGTTCAGTCGACTCCAGGACGGGCGCCACCAGAGCACCAGAATCAGATAAATTACTCAAGCATGTTACCAGCATCAATATACCATTGGGTTCATATACTTGGTCAGCTTTTGCCTTAAACATTCACTACATGTATATTCTATCTTCTCTCCTTTGTTTCCGGACTTCCTTTCCTCCGCTCTTCTCCCCCTCCCTCCAGCCCTCTCCACAAATTGCGCTCGTCGACCTCCAGGCTAACTATCTTCTAGGCTTCATCCTCTCACATCGCCTCTCATTCTCTTTCACAGACAATCATGGCGCCTACTTGTGCTGACAGTATATACTCATCCTTGACGCATCTTGCTTGCGTCAATTTATCTCCTGGAAACACAAATCAGTTTCTGTAAAGTGGAAGATCAACCAGATGTTTGGTTGATAGGAGATCTGTACGGTCATGTACTTGTCATCCGTCTCGAGCGACCCGAGGGCGGTAAACCTTTGCTCCGATATCAACAAGCCGGTCAAGTTTCATCACCAGAAGCATTGGTTTATATCTCTGATCGGTTCATCTATCTTGCCTCACACTATGGCGATTCCCAACTCTTGAGAATCAGCGCTCTCGATTCAGCCCTTGCTCAAGATTGTCAACCTGAAGTGGTGGCCAATTATCCCAACTTGGCTCCGATATCTGATGTCTGCGTTGTTGATCAGAGTGAAGGTTTTGATCATCAATTGGTGACCTGTAGTGGGGCATATCAAGATGGATCACTTAGGATCATCACCCATGGTATCACGCTCACTGACTTGGGCATGTTACCCATCGCTGGAGCCGAACACATTTGGTCAATCGATACACCTCACTCACCACAAGTCACCCTCATTGTTGGCTTCCGTAATGAGACTCGTTTCCTAATCATCGAAAACGATCAATTCAGTCAAGACGTAGAAGAGCTCGATAGTTTTTCTGGGTTTAAATCTGATCGACGAACTATCCTTGCAGGTCAAATCATCAGTCAGGGTCATCATGTTCAAGCTTTTCCAATTCAAGTCACTCAGGAAGAAGTGATTGTAGGTGAGATGTTTCGTTGGGAACCTACATCGAATGATTTGATTACTGTTGCTGCAATCGGAGCTTCTTTGACGGTTGTTGCGCTTCAGCGTGAGGTGTTACTCTTACATGTCAAAGATAATTTATTAGTACAATCAGAGTGAGTGGACAGTACTTTCCGAGTATAAAGCCCTTTTCTCTACTGGTTGACAGTTTTGTTGACGCATCTTGTTTTGGATAACGTATCAGATCCATCCGCTTCCCAAATGAAGTTTCTTGCTTGGCCATTGACCCAAGTCAAAAGGTCTTGGCAGTCGGACAATGGATTAGTAATTCTATCGCCTTAGTCTCCTTGGACCAGATGAACGTTTCGACAACTATTGAAACAGGCTCTGATTTTGGTGTTCATTCGGTATTGTTCACCAACTTTGGAGAAGGGATAGATCCTCATTTACTCGCGGGTATGGATGATGGAGAATTGATTAGTATCAAACTTCAAGGACTCGAGAATGGGAGTTTGGTTCAAGAGCAAAGTCGAAGAACTGTAGTCCTTGGACATCGACCGATCACTATGTCGCGTATTGTCTTAGACATACCAACAGACCAACAACTTGGAAAGCCAGCCGTTTGGATTCATAGTGAACATCCAACTCTGATGATAGAAGTAGATGGTCGATTAAAGTACAGACCAGTCGCACTGGGTGATGCAACAGATGCCATCAAGATCGGAACGAGAGGAGTTGGAGTAGTCACTTCAGAAGGAATTCGACTGGGAAGAATTGATAGTTTAGAAAAGATTCATATTTCTAAGATTCCATTGGGAGGTGAACAACCTAAGAGGATTGCACATTCGAAAAGTATGAGAGCTTATGGGGTGGTTTGTGTTAGTCAAAAAGTTAATCAACAGACTGGTGAACTAGATAAGGGTAGCTCTGTGAAAATTATTGATGATGTGACATTTGAATGTAAGCCTTTCTTTTTCAACCGCACGGTGGGGATCTACTTGACTGATCAAAGATTGTTTTTTTTGGATTTGTGAAAATCGGGGAAAAAAGTGTTGTTTGATTTTCAATTGTTGAGTATTGAACAAGGTACAAGTATTGCAGCCATAGAATTAGGTAAAGATTTGATAGAAGATTTTATAATTGGAACTGGATTTGTCAATCCAAATGAAAGTCAATCGAATACAGGAAGGATTCTAACGATTGGATTATCATCAAAGCACGATCAAGAAGGAAATCTAAGAGAATTCAAATTAAAAAGGATGACCAAAGTGAAAGGAACAGTACATGGATTAGGAGGATTACCTGGAGGAAAGTTTGTAGCATCTGCTAATGCATTTGTACATGCGTTTGGAATTAATGAAGAAGAAGAAGATGAAGGATTCGAAGTTTTAGATACTTGGGGAGGAGGGTTTGTTTCACAAACCGTTTTGACTGAAAAGAATTGGATCATTGTAGGAGATTTATATAAAAGTATAGTGGTTTTAGAATTTGATTTAAAGAAATTCTCATTAAAGGTTTTAGGACGAGATTATTCGGCTATGTCTGTTAGACCTATTGGGATGATTTCTGATCGAGTTTTTGTGGCGGCTGATACTGAATTCAATTTGTTTACTGTTGAGATGAGAGAGAGACAAAAGGGTTTGAAAGAAGAAGATGAAGATGAAGAAGGGCTTAGCGTTGAAGAGGAGAAAGGAGATGATGATGAATGGGAAGAAGAAGAGAGAAGGATGAGAGTTGAAAAGGTTTTTAATGATGATCATCTTGATACGGTTGGAGGATTTCATTTAGGAGAGAATGTGAATCATTTTAAAGCAGGTAGGTGTCTTTTTTTCTTTTGGATCATTGTGTTTTTGATTTTCTCTATTGTACTGAGATGATCTTTTGTTTTTTGTTTTTGTTGATGTGATATTTTTTTTCTTTCAAGGATCTTTGGTTAAAAGTTTAAAACATTTCTATGGTCAAGATTTAAAGTATGGAGGTAAATTGATTTTTGTTAGTTCGACTGGAGGAATTGGTGTGATTATAAAACTAGAAGATTTAAAGATTTATAAACACTTGAAGGCTTTAGAAGATCGATTGAAGAAAGAAATCTTAAGTATTGGTGGATTAGATTCAACTGAGTAAGTTTTTTTTTCTTTCTAAACAAAATAGAGAAGAAAAAGAAGGAAAGATTGATTGATTGATTTTTTTTGGGGGGGGGTAAAATAGGTTTAGAAAGTTTAAGAATAAATGGAAAAAAGTTGATGGTTGTGAGTTTTTAGATGGTGATTTAATTCAAAGATTGTATAATGATTCATTCAAAAGAAAATCATTGATTAAAGAAGATCAAGATGAAGTTGGAATTGATGAAGTTGTAGAAGAATTAAGTTGGTTTCATTAAACGTTTATTTTAAGATTTTTGATATTACTTTCAAATTTAAATGATTAGATATTTGTTGGCTACAACACACACACACACACATATATATATATATATACAAGAGAAGGGAAATAAGAAGAAAAAGAAAAGGAAGTAGGCTTTGTCTTTGTAAAAGATATCATGTGTTTTTGTTTTTGTTGTAATTTTGTTGATATTTGTATGGACTTGATCTTTTTGTTTTGATTGGTTTTGGGAGTTTGGTTTTATTGAATATATAAATACTACCATTTCATTATAGGTCAAAGCTTTAGAAAAAATAATGAAGTTTTTGACTAGTTTAAGCAAGATTGAATATCAGACTTCACCACTGGAAAATAAAAAAATCCAGTGTTTCCTAGGTTAAATCTGGGCAAAAACTGGAATTTGAACTTTCTACTTTGTTTGTCTTTGAGGTTCAACATTTAATGGAATAGCTGTAGATATCAATACATAATGATAAGAAAGGAAAGAAAATGGAAGAAGAGTTTTGTTAACTTGTAGGGTTGAGAGATTGATTTATGGTTGATACTTTGGTTTAGAATGATAAGTAACTTACATTGGTTGGATGAGAGAGGCTTCTCATGCACAAACCATATTTCAGAAATTTTGTACAATGAGAGTATTCACAGTGGTCAGGCCCCAAATCATGGCCCCAAATCAACCAAATTGGATTTTAGTGGGGCCCTAGACCATTTGGCCAGATGCAATGGTTTGGGCTCCAAATTTGTACAGAGTATGGGTGACAGACAGTTTACAGAGCCCCTGTAATGCTCCTAGTAAGTGTACCAAGAAAGAATGTCCCAAACTCCTGTTGATTTGAGGCTTATGAATGCCAAGAAGAGCTTTTTTGTTGGTATGATTCTGAAAATGTTTTTGAAAAAAAAAACTTTGAAGATTTCTTCTAAGGTTCCTAATTACATTAAGCATGAAAACTGATATTTTCACATGGTTTGTAACAATTGAAACCTGAAAAAAAACAGCACCAGAACTTTGAGACACAGTAAATGGACAAAAAAGGTATTGATTTTTTTTGCCTGAAATGATAACAGGTATGTATGACTATTAGCAAAGAAATGTGATCAAAACTTCTTAAGTGTTGGTTGAGGTGGTATTAGATGTATACAAGATGTGGTGGATTTCAGAATCATTCCTGGTAAGTTGGTATGCTCAAGAATCCTTGGTCAAAGACTTCTCACACTCATATCTCTGATGTTGATATGATCCAAAGGCAACATAGGCCAAGACGCCTATTTTGTTGACTACGTGTCAAAAAAAACAAAGTAAGAACATACCTTTTTCAATGGGATGTTTACTGAGAGCTATTCAGGGTCCTGCTTACATGCACTTCAAGGTGTAGTAAATACAAACCTTTACACTTGTAAAGTATGGGGTTCAGCAAGTGCATCAATTTGGGGCTTGCCACTAATATTGTCAAATTTGACAACTGAAGGTCAAAGTTTGGAGTTGGCCCCAAATACATCCACAGCCCCTGGCTACTAGTCACTGGCAGGCCAGAGATTACCACTGAATTCAAGAAGATTTCAAGCAAACTTTGAAGTATTTCCAATGAAGCTTCAAAATAACTTCAGCTAGAGGCAATCCTTCCAGAGTGATACAGTGTCAAGTATGGCAACTGGCTACATGAAGTCAATTGGTTGTCCTACAAGCATCAATTTTCTGTCAAGCTGAGGATGTATCTGGCCCAGAGACTAGATGATAGATGTCAATAAGGTCACACTGTCAGCCCAAAAATAGTGCCTAAGGATACATCTACAGAAACTCAAATTTTCCACTTCAAGAAAGTAGGCACTGTTCTCTAGTGTCCACATCTTAAACCTTGGGGGACTTTCATTGAAGGAACCAGTTTTCTGGCACCTTTTCCATCCACCAATACCTTGATAATAACTCAAAATGTTTTTTTGCCCACAATTATCCCAATTTTAACTCAAAATTAATTGTAACTGAACATGATTTTTTCATGGCCCACCAATGACCTAATTGTAACTCAATGTTTTTTAAATCCACCAATATCCCAATTGTAACTCAAAATGATTTTCCTGTCCTTCAATACCTTAATTGTGACTTTGATTTTTTTTCAATATCCTACTAAATATGTCTTTTTCCAGCAATATCATAATTGTAACTCAGAATGTCTCCCATGAGGCACCATTAACATTTATCTTAATATGAATTGAATACCCCCTTGATGGCAAGCAAGGGGCTCCAAGGCAAAGGAAAGCCCTGTGGTGTTGGTACTTTTTATTTCAATACGGCTGGAGTACCCCCTTGATGGCCAGCAAGGGGCCCTGAGGTTGAGTTATCCCTGGGGTTGGTACCTTCTTCATACAGCTATGGTACTTCCTTGGGTACTGGCCCAGACATTAACTTAACCTTGGGGCCCATTTCTGGCCATCAAGGGGGCACTCCAGCTGCATTGACATGAAAATTACCAACAACACAGGGATCTTTTGAGGCAGGCCAACCCTGGCCCCTTGCTGGCCCTCTAACTGTATGAAGATAAATATTTATGGTGCCAGTGCCACAGGAGTATTGGATGGAGTAAATTAAAGTTACAATATATTTTTGGACAAAAAACATATTGAGTTACAATTAGGATATTGGTGGACAGAAAAAACATTTGGGGTTACACTTGAGATCTTGGTGGACAGACAAAACATTTTGAATACAATTGGGATATTGGTGGGTGGAACAAACATTTTGAGTTACAATTAGGATATTGGTGGACACATTTTTTTGAGTTTTGATCAAGGTATTGGTGGATTTAAAAACAATTTTTAGTTGAAATCAAGGTATGTAACTGTCCAAATGGCAGTAGCCACCATCTGAAGTCCTTTTGCAATTTATCTGAAATTTCTTAGTTCCTCTGAAGTTTCTTTGAAAACTTCTTGAACTTGTGGTAGTCTCTAGCCTGCCAGTGACTAGTAGCTGGGGGGCTTTTATTTAGCAATAGGGATCACCACTGCAGCACAAATCCAGGGCCCTATTGCTACATTTGGCAATAGCCCCTGTTTGGGGCTTGCCATTGTGGATGCTCCAAGCATTTGGGTTTTTGAAGAAGTGGATCCAAAGATCTTGGAAATGATTGCTTTGATTTGATATGAGGGATATTTAGAAGGAGTTGATCTTGATTCTTGGGTTGAGAACATGGTTCTTTTGGTATATATGTAGTCAGGTGGGTGGTGGCTGTTTTTTCCAGCCATACATGTGGCTTTTTTCTGCTCAATGTGCATGCAAATGGAGGATGTGCGCAGTGTGTGGTACCAAAATTGTGTCTTAGTGTCTTCATTCAAAAAAGGTGAAAAAAATAGAAAATCAAACAAATCAGCTGCAGACCAGCTAGAAGGTTCATTTTCTGCAATTATAATTGAAGTAAGGGATAAATTATTTTTCCTTTTGCTTAAAAAGAGAAAAATGGAAAATGAATGAAAGGTAAATTGAAGGAAGCCTTGATCTGGCCTCTCACTCCCTGCCAAGGACAGATTCAGGCTGTTACACTGCCTCCAAACGGCCTCGGCCCGGCGACTTCAAGGCCAGACCCCGGCCTGGCCGCTGGACTATGGCAGCCCAAGACTAAGCATGCCTGCAGGCCCCATTCTCAGACGCTAGCCTGTGTCATGTGTGCGCCACTGTTCACCAGAATATGTAGGTTTGAACTGGAAGATGGTCAAAGTAAGGACATAGCATGTCACTTTACAATAAATGGATGATTCCAAATACAAGATTTTCTGAAAGCTTTTGTTGTGAAAGTTGTATTTGCCTTTTTTTGTTGTATGAAAATAAGTAAATGGGTAAAGCAAGAATTTGTGCAATCACATTTGAACAGATGTGAAGTCAATGACAAAATCAAGAAGTGCCACTCAGACTAAGCAGCACCAAGCATCATCAAAGCTGTCAGGAGGTCCACCTTTCATAAGTTTATGAGGCTCCAAACCTCATTCAGTCTCAATCTTTCAGCTTAATTGATTATGAAAAGAAAAGATGAAATTTTCAGGGAAGCATATTCTGTGACTATCTTCTCACATTCTTACACTGAAGATATCAGGTGTTTTTCAAAGGCAAGAAATGATTACATTTAATTTACAAAGTGATTGAAAATGCATCAAGGCTGCATTATTAATCATTTTGTGCAGTAAATCCAATCATTTTTCACCTTTGAGAAACACATTACTTTTGCAGTCTTAATTTTTCACCTTTTGTTGTGAGCGCCAACCAAGGCACAAATTGGTGCAAAGGTCCATGACTTAGAAAGTTGTGTGTATTTGATAGCCTGAAACTGCAAGTTTTTTGCCTACAAAACCATCAGATGTGAAAGGCTGAAAGTGGTTGAAGTGTTAATGAATTAACCCTTTACCTCCACTTATGCTAAGGATGCTATCAATGTGTGACTTTCCAACATAATTTATCTGGTGGTGATGCATACAAGCTACGGGCAAAAACTTTGCCCCTTGCAAGAAACCAATCTAATAGGTCTCTCATTTAGAGACCTTCAGACTCTTTCCCTCATGGGAAGAGAATACAGTGAAGTTTGGGGGAAGAGTCCCTTCAAAACAAGGGTGGGAGGGGTTTGTCTTGAATATTTGAGTTCAAAAAGCTGTTAGAATTTTCTCAGAGTGAGAAGATAAAGGGTAAGATGCCTGAAGGACCTAAGATGGGAAAAAAGGGAGAAGATGAAGAATGGAGCAACTGGCACCATGTCCGTGTGGTGTTCTCCTGTCAACAAGCGCACACAAGTTGCCTTTGTGCCTCAAAGGCAGTCTGTGTGCTTGCATTGTTGGGCAACTGCCACAAGGACACGGTGTGGGAGAGTGAGGAAAGAGGAGAAGGCAAAGTCTGAGATAGAATTCTTTCTAAGGGCAAATTATTGTGGTTAATTGTGGTTAATTCATAACCAAGTGCTTTTACTTTCTGTGCATGTAGTCTCCAGGCACCATTCCATTAAGGTTGGTTTATTCTTCTGTATG